TAATCACATCACATGTCCTCCACTCTCCCCACCTTCACCCAGTACGTCACCTGCCACACCAGAGACAATAAAACATTGGACTTATTGTATGCCAACACCAAGAAGGCATACAGCTCATCACCTCTCCCTCCCCTGGGGGGCTCAGATCACAGCCTGGTTCATCTCGAGCCTGTGTATAAACCTCTAGTACACAGAGAAACAGTTGTGAAACACCCATTAAGCAAATGGTCGGCAGAGACTGAAGAGGCCCTGAGGGACTGTTTCCGTTCTACTGTGTGGGACAACCTCTGCAGCCCCCTGGAGGATGACCTCAACAGCATCACAGACTGCATTACAGATTACATGAACTTCTGTGTGGACAACACCGTACCCATACTCATAAAGGTACGGTGTTTTTCTAACAACAAGCCATGGATAAATCCTGAAATTAAGGCTCTCCTCAAGGAGAAGAAGAGAGTCTTTAGATCTGGAGACAAACAGGAGCTGAGAGTTGTTCAGAAGAAGCTGAAATGGAAGATAAGGCAAAGGAAGGAAAACTACAGGAGGAAGATGGAAGAGCAGCTGCAACAGGACAACTTCAGAGGGGTTTGGAACAGCCTGAAGACAATCTCAGGACAAAAACCAACCCCCAGGCTGCAGGAGACTTGGGGTGGGTGAATGACCTAAATAAACATTTTAATAGGTTTGATCAACCACCCATCCCTCCCCCAGCATCGTCCCCCCTGCTGCAATCTCCCTCATCTTCAGGGCCTGCCTGTCTTTCATCACAGGACTTCACACCTCCCAGCTCCCAGTCATTACACCCACCCCCGGCTTCTATAGACTCCAACATACACCCCCCTCCCCCAAAATCCACTCTTTCTATCTCAGCACTTCAAGTGAGGAACGAGCTTCGCAAGATCAAGGTGCGAAAGGCTGCAGGTCCAGATGGCATCAGCTCCAGGCTCCTGAGGTGCTGCACAGATTAACTGTGTGGCATCCTAGGATATCTGTTCAACCTGAGCCTGTCACTGGGGAAAGTACCACAGCTGTGGAAGACCTCCTGTGTGGTACCGGTACCAAAGACCTCCCATCCCAAGGACCTCAGCAGCTACAGGCCGGTAGCCCTGACATCACATCTGATGAAGACCCTCGAGAGGTTGGTTCTAAACCATCTGCGCCCCCTGGTGAGTTCTTCATTGGATCCGCTGCAGTTTTCTTACCAGCCTGGCATCGGGGTGGAGGACGCCATCATCTACCTCCTGCACCAAGCTCTGACTCACCTGGAGAAGCCTGGAAGCACTGTGAGGATCATGTTCTTTGATTTTTCCAGTGCTTTCAACACCATCCAGCCACGACTTCTGAGAGACAAGCTGGAGCTATCGGGAGTGGACCACCACATGTCCCAGTGGATACTGGACTACCTCACAGAACGCCCACAGTATGTGAGGTCACAGGGTGTGTCTCTGATACGCTGGTCTGCAGTACGTGGGCCCCACAGGGAACTGTGCTGGCACCGTTCCTCTTCACCCTCTACACTGCAAACTTCTCCATCAACTCCCCACGCTGCCACCTACAGATGTTCTCTGACGACTCTGCCATAGTCGGCCTCATCCCAGGTGAGGACGACTCAGAGTACAGACAGTGGACTCTGGACTTTGTAGACTGGTGTCAGCAGAACCACCTGCCGATCAATGCTGGGAAAACCAAGGAGTTGGTGGTGGACTTCCGGAGACGCAGACCCACCACACTGACACCAGTGAACATCCAGGGAGTGGACATTGAGATAGTGGACTCTTATAGGTATCTGGGTGTTCACCTGCCTGAATAATAAACTGGACTGGAGCCACAACACTGATGCTCTTTACAGGAAGGGTCAGAGCAGACTCTACCTGCTGAGGTCATTTGGAGTACAGGGAGCGATTTTGAAGACCTTCTATGACTCTGTGGTGGCATCTGTCATTTTTTACAGTGTTGTATGTTGTACGAGGAAGGACATTTCTGCAGGTCCTTCCTCCCTGCAGCTGTCAGACTGTACAATCAAAACTGCTCCCAACAATCACAGATGTTTACATCTGCGCTGTAACTGCAATAATTCAATCAACCAATTCGCACTACAACCTGGTTTGCCTCTTATCTGTAGTTAATTTTATTTTATTTAATAACTGTACAGTACTCTGTTTATAGTAACCATTGTCCTTAATGTAAATATCTAAGAAAAATTGTGTATGTTTCTGTTCTGTGTCCTGTTTGTATATGTGTCTTTCTGGCTGCTGTTACAACCAAATTTCCCCTTGTGGGACAATTAAAGAATTATTCTATTCTATTCTTCTATTCACACACCACACCACCAAGGAGAGTTAGATCAGCCACAGACCAGATGCTACATTATCTGGATACACTTATCCTAACTTGGGTAATCCTCTCATTCATTTCAGCGTTTCCCCTGCACATTCGCACGACAGGGCTGACCCTGGTTGCATCTAACTAATCGCAAATATGGATAAGTATCCTCGCAGCAGAGCGACTGATTTCATAAAAGAAGATCAAATTATAGTGCAGGAAAATATGACGAGGTAAAACACATAATAGAAACTGAAATTCACACGGCGATGTGAGTGTGAGGAAAAGCACTGTGGAGTGTTACAGTATTAAAAATGTGCACTTTAACTGCTCCGGTCAGTAAGACTGGAAAACAGCTGCTATATTCAGAAGAAAGAAAACAAAACTGACTGCGTGAGTCAACAGACTTATCAATATCACAACTCTATCAATAGGACATGAGAGAATCTGATGGATAGCAATCAATTATTTCTGCAGCATCGGTGCCGTTTAAGAGAATAAAGAATTCATATTAAAAGAAAATTCAAACGTAGGCTTAGTCTACATGCAAGTTTGATATGAGGTAAGCAAATACAAACAGGCGCTATGTCATATATTAATTGATTAATAGTTAATTAATTAATTATTGTTCATAGAATAAAACTGCTGTGAAACCATTCGCAGACAATAGGAATCAAGTAATAAAGTGGTGTTTAAGAATCTATGTCCATCTGTGCTCGTTGGGCAAAAACAAAAACTTTAGACCCTCCTCCAAATGTCCACGCCCAGAAGTCTGGCTGATCTTCTGGGAACGGTGACGCTAATTTCTGGAAATGTAGTTGTTGTTAAATTACTGGAAATCCAGCTGTTTTCCTCAACCAAGGTTGAAACTTGAATTTAACCAGATAAGACTGAATCCTGGATCGTAACAGAGGCCCCAGAGCATCAGTAAGAAAAACTCACAGCTGGAGTTCCTTGGACTGCTCCTTCTTGGCCAGCTGTTTCTCTCGCTCTTTTACCAGCGCCTCCTGCTTGGCTTTCATATCATTCAGTGTCACCAGACCTGATCAAGAGATTTAAGAGAACAAAGAAACAAACAAAAACCACAACAGGTAAATTAAAAAGTAAGCAAGAATGCCAGAAACAAATCATCCTAATCTAAATATAACACAACACACTCACCAACTGTGCTGGACTTCAGCTCTGCCTCTACAGCATCATAGTGAGCCGAGAACTTCTTGTCAATGTTGGACTTGACCATGTTGTCCTATGAGAAAACACACACACACAGTGAAGGCTCAGTGAAGAGCAGGTCAGGCATGTTGTTATCCTGGTGTGGTCACAATATTAGAACAGATCAGAGAGCCCTTACAGCCTTTGTCTCAAAAATCTTAGAATTCAAACAGAAATTTGGACAAATCTCTCATTTTAAACATTTTTTCCCATGTTTTATGCGATTGTAACGGTAAAGTAGTTTGTTTCGTGTATAAATACCTGGATCGAACTACATAAAAAAAAGTTAATTATGTATCTGTGTCTGTGTATCTTGATGACACAGCAGATTAGCTCATAATACTGCTGATCACCATAAGCTAAACTCAGCACAGTAGTAATACACAGTACAACTGTCTATAAGTGGTGCTACATTTGTATTGTGCTTCTTTGTTACTTTATCTGCACAAATAAGAAAAAATGTTAGAGATAGCATTTGATCTTTGCCACCACTACCTAGATTCAAATATTGTACAGGCGTGTAGTTTAAGGAGCTTAAATAGCAATACAATATTTTGTGAGAGATGTATGCCCTCTAAAATCATCACAGATCCATCCTGGCCACCCCACGGACAATTTCCTGGCTCCGCCACTGTCCTTCACTCGCTTTGCTCCCGGCCTTACGCGACTGCGTTCTGTCGTTTTGACCACTTATAAACGGCTAAAGTAGCTCTCATTGACACTGAACTATTATTGGACTTGTTATAATCAAGGGGGAGAAGTTCCAAACCTCTGCAATCTTCTGCTTTAGTTGCTCCAGCTGCTCTCTTTCTTTTTCACGCTTCTTCATGAGCTGCATGGCCCTGCCAGCCTCACTGGCAGCGCCTTTGTACTGCGCCATGTTTTCAAAATGAGCTTAAAAAGATATTTGTTCAAATACAAGATTAATAATAAAATCTCTCAGAGACTTTTCCAGAACTGTAAAGACAGCGTATCTCGCAAATCACAACAAGAAAAATGGCGACGGCGAAGTGCATGCCGGGTAGTTACGTATTAAACGATGCCTTCAAGGGCTTCAGGGAAGCTCGGAATAATTGTGGAAAAAAAATTTCTCTCTCGAAGCAATTAACACTAAGTTCGCATGCTTCAACTACTGATTAAGCAATCAATCAAAATGTTCTGATTAATTTGTGAAAATCATCCATAGTTTTTTAGGAAAAGCTGAAAAAAAAGCCCCAAAGCCAAGTTTGAAACAAATGAATAGGACTTATATTTTTGCTTCATAAATTATTTTTAAGACGAGATAATTATTTGAACATTTATATTTTATAGTATGTGTAAACTTTCTACTTAAAAAAAAAAACTAACTAAAAACAAAATATTTGTGACCTTAATATTTCTTGAAAGTTGTTTGATTTACACTCATATCTATTTCATTTTGGAAAATAAATAAATACCCAATATAAAAAAAAATACCCGTGGAAGTCTTGACATTTTTATTTGTAGTTTGTTTCAGCTTTCATACAAATAAACCAGAAATCAAATGATTAACAACAACAACAACAATAATAATAGTAGTAGCAGTAGTAGCAGTACATTTCTTTATAGCCTGATGGTGGAAACAATAGCAGAAATTGGTTTACATGTAGAAAACATTTTGAGTAGGATTAACAGAGCAGGTTAATAAAACATAAATAAAAAAAAACATGAAGAAAAAGAAAGAAATGAGAAATAGGCCCCCAATTTAAGCATTCACTCAGTCACCCACTGAGTGCATATCTTGCATTCATACTGTGTCTTTGTCTTTCATTTGAATCCAGTCCTTGTTCGACAGTGAAATTGCGATTTGGCTGCAGCAGAGAGCAACAGATGCACAGAATGGAGAGATGACAACGTTGACGGCACACATACACAAGGACCGCAGGCATGGAAGGAAAGTGTTGCTCAGCTGTATGCAGGGAACCAGAAACCTAGGCACAGACAAAGATCAGAGTAAGTTAGTGAAGACGGCTTAGGCAGCAGAAACACCTGTGTAATGTGTCTGAACACTCATGTGGCAAACAGCTACAGGAAGAGAGGCTGAGTTTCTCAGAAGTAAAGAGGGGCAGAAGTTCACCAGCTTGCAAAAATAAATCTATAAATTGTGAAACAATTGTTCAAACACCAGTAACAAAAACACAAGACTTGTCCAAAGCTGCAACAGCTGCACATTTACAAATATTTTACATATCTCATCATCTATAGGACATAATCAAAAGATTCACACAAATTGGAGAAATTTCTGCACGCATGTAACAAAGCTGAAAATTTGTACTGCTGAATATCTGTTGGCTGTGGTGCGACCACACTTGCAGTACAACAACAACAAAGTCTTATTTGACCCAAAAATCCTTTTACATTTATAAGTGAGACATCTGCAATACTGCTAACAGGATAGCCAAGACTGTAAATAAGGTTTCTTTTGCTTGTGTATGGAAGAGGATTAGGGCCACTGGAAAAAGAAAAGTGGGCTCTTCCGTACTTATGACCTTAGTCCACTGAGGTTTAATTTTAGTGAACCTTCCTCAGTGTCTAGAAGAGAGTTTTATTCATGTGACATTGGTATAATGTCAAGCAGGAATCTGCAAAGAAAGCTATTAAACATGTGACTGTCTGCAAACGTATTTCTGCACATGTGAATTGCGCCATAAAGAACTGCCCCTGCCCCTTAGTCCTAATCCTAACTGTATACACACAGTAAAACAGGATGCTGGTATGAACTGGGCAGAGACGAATATGTAAGGGGTTACATGACAACTTTGTCCATCTCTGATATATAGTCCATGCACTCAAATGTTATATTGAACATGTTTTAAAGTAGAGGCTGTGTCTGATGTTTCATTAGAGGCTAACTACACTCTTTCTTGCTAGGAAAAAAAAAACATGCCAATAATCCTAATAATACTGTGGATGTGTGTTTGTGGTTATTTGCAGATAAAGCAATGTGTGTCCAGAGGAGAAATATTTAATAACTCTCCAACATACCAGACATGAAGGCAGGTAAGAATGGCCAGGAAAATGCCACAAACGAGAGCGCAGGGCACAGCAAAAAGCAAGGAGAGGCACTGGTACGTCCAGATACGAGCATTCTCAAAGCCAGTGACGCTGTAAATCCACACTTGGTCTATGCTGTGAGGTTTGCTGGGTTCTGCCAACACATCACTGACCTCCACCTGTAAAAGGTAACAGGAGAGAACGCTGAGGCTGAACACAATAAACTAGCCAAAGTTAATTCTATTTTTATCAGGATAGTTTCAACTGCTATCTTGATCAGTTAGATCTTTAACATGACAACCATGCACAATGTGCTTTGGGAACATGCAGGTTTTGGTTTGTGTATCTGTACTGAAAGCTATTTCATTCCTATTCCTAGATATTCCATTATAACAGAAATAATTTATTATATTTTATGTTTTTTCACTCAGACAACTCATGTTGGAAACTATGTTTGCAGCAGGAAATTATCTGGAATATCTGTATCTGAGCGATCACTCTGGGAATACCATTCACAGCATTTCTGGTCAGCTTAATGTTATATTAAAAATGATTAAAAATGATCTAGTTAACTTCAAAATAAAACAATATAAAATGATTTAAATTCGTTTTATTATCAAAATGTCACAAAGTTTGGGAAAATGAAATGTGTCATGTCTGGCTTATCTGAGGTTTTCTGTTGCATTAACTCTTTCAATCAATAAGGGTTATTTCACTGCTGTTTTGTTGTGTTCTTTGGGGTTTTATTTGTGTCATCTATAGATTGTCCCATTTAACTCTTTCCAAAGAGAAAGAGCCCCCTCCCAAAAAAGCCAAAAAGAAACCCAGGGAAAAAAAATAAATAAACAGGGACATCTGTCTGTCGGATGGGAAAATGAGGGTGAAAATGATTGTGTAGCCTCACAAGTGTGCAGCATTTTAAAAACCAAGATAGTCTTATAAAGAGTGTACAAATTCCCCCAAAATACATTTTTATCTCAGATATTTTGTCATAGATATAGATAACAGTTCTGAGACTGGTCAGATCCAATTAGAAGGTTAAAAAAACAATTTTCTGGTAGGACTGTGTCTATGCATGTGACATCTGGATTTTAGGACTCAAGGGCAGATGTTGTGACAAAGCAGACTGATAATAAAGAGAACAAACATCAGGACCTTTAGGTGCTGGTTGATACCACGAGGATCCCTGCTGACAGGACGAGTAGCTGCTGCTGTAGGAGGAGCAGCAGGTGGAGCTGGAGCTATGGGTGGAGTCGGGGCCCTGGGCGTAGTCAGAGCTCCAGGTGGAGTTGGAGCTTTGGGTGCAGGGGTTGAGGATTTGGATGCAAACTCTGGGGGAGGAGGGGGAGTGTTTATCTGTTCTTCCCCTTCGTCGTTTTCATCGCTGTCGTCAATCTTACACTCCACCAGGCAGTCGTCGCTCACCATCATCATCTTCGCTAAAAGCAAATATAAATGTTTGCATTCGAATCACGCAGAATTGTTGAAGCCAACTAGATTCAACCCACAGACAGAGAGACTCACTCCTCCAGCTGATTGCAGGCCAGTGTAAAAGCGAGCTGAGCTCTGGCACTTCCACCTGTTCTTCAGCCTCCCGAAAAAGAAGTCAGTCCAAAATCTGTAAATAGCAGCTGGTAATTTTAAGACGGCATTTTTAAATGGAAAGCTCTGCAGTGCGGCCAGTGGTCGCATTAGATACAGTGCAGCCAGTGGTCGGATCTAACACGTGTGCATTTAGAACATTTCTATCAAAAAGGTGAAAAAATATATCGGTGCGTCCTATGAAACTTTCAATTCAAGATTTACGATTCACCACAGAGGCAGCAAAGATATGAATAAATCATGTCTGACTTACCTTTTTTTTAAAAACAAAATGCTATCTTAATCCTTTCTCACTGACAGAGACCCTCAGAGAGAGAGAAAGATGGGGCAGGGGTGCTCTGCTTAGTGCTAATCTGAAATGTCAATGAGATCAGTTCAGCGGCTTCATCACAATGTCCCTCGAAGCTGAAGTGGAATTTACAGGACATGCAGAGACACAACACAGACACCTACAGTGTCTGACACCGACTTAGTGTGTCAGGAGTGCAAATGCGGTACAGTAGCTCTCTATGTGTGTGTGTGTGTGTGTGTGTGCGTGTGTGTGTGTTGGGTGGCTGTGTCAAGGGGTTATTTTAGGAGAAGGAGCAGACGGGTCCGAATGATCGCATTACAGAATTGGTGTGGTTTCCTAAAACAGAAACAATGACACATGCACCCACAGAGACCAATTATGTCGTAAACATGTTTCAATTAACATTAATACAACACTGATTCACCACAGTGATGAGTCAGACTGCAAGAGAGACTGTCACACGCAGGAAGTTGGGGTTGCTTATTTTTCCAGAGGCAAAATCTTTGAGTGACTACTGGAGAGCCATGTTCAGAAGCACAGCGCAACCACTTGTACCCCCATCATGCCCGAGTTCAGCTGAACCACGTGTGGCAGTCACACCAGTCAAATGAACAACAATCCCCTTAAATACAACAACAATCTGTTAACCATTCATCACTTTGTCATCTTTATTCATTTTTTTTAACCACATATACAGTTGGACGCAGTAAACTTAGTGACATCATCGAACAGTGATCCAGAACAACAGGGTGTTTTAACCATAGATGCAGAATCAATAAAAGAAGGGAAAACAAAACAACTCTTCTTTCATTTTTCCAATACTGAAACACAAAAAATGTGAGATGATGTATGTAAGATTTTAAAATGCTTTTAGAGTCAAAGGAGCTGTTCACTTCGCTGCAGGAATCCTGAAACACGTTTGAATGGGACCTGTGGGGAAAAAACATGCTTCCTGGTCCTAAAAATAAAGCCAATGCAGAAGTGCCTAAAAACCTGCATTCTCTCTGAAGGCCACCAGATGGCAATAGCTGTTGTTGAAAAAGACTGTAGGGGTCTTTGGGTAAAACTTTACTTTAGTCACTTGTTTTGGGTCATATACAATAATAATAAAAAGTAAAATCTTGGTTATATCATGTCTCAAAAAGGAAGATTAGCAGTGGCATTTTCTGCTCATGCACTGTCTAACGACTTGTCAGGCACAAGATATTGAGCAATGAGCAAGCAGTTTCACTGCTGCTTGTCCTCATTGGAGCCAGTGTCTTGCAACCAAGATGGCGACAACAGAAATGTTCATCATGTGGCTTCAAAACGGGACCTCAGACACCAACAGGTGACATCACAGTAGCTACGTCCATGTTTTATAGTGCCTATGATGATGCCATAAACACAGCAAGGGGGGCCCAAAGTGTGGATGAATGAGACAAGAGTTTCAATTGTGGCACCAAAATGGCGCCATGGTGTTCACAGTTTAAATCAGAGAAAGAGTCGGACACCTCTCTGATATAGGGGCCGTTTTGGCTCTCGAGACAAGGGCACAGTTTCCAGCTGAAGAGTAAGTCGACCTAAGACCTGAGAGAAAACCCTTTCTTATTCCTTCTAAGCCAAACCTGAGTTAGCCTGTCCTTAACTCTGCATAAGCCCTGAGATTTGGCCAACATATCAGGCCACGTCACATATGAAGGGGAATGTGTTTTTCTTCTCTGTGTTTTTTCAACACAACATGCTGTTATGCAAAGACCAAGTATACCAACCTCAATGCTAACAGCGTATCTAGCTAACACACACGGAGTCTCAAAGTGTTCAGTTTTCAATAAATTAATATGAAATAAAAAATCAACAGAATAATAAATGTAAATGTTAAGTTGTAATTTGTGAGATGATTTAGGATATAATCATTATAAAAAGTTGTTTGATCATTTTTTTTTAGCTTGAAAGGAATTTTTCAAAAAATATTCACAAAATATTAAAAAAAACCTTTTTGTTTCATTTTTTTTCTCCAATAACACACTATTTAATGACAGAGGTGTTTTTCCACTACCTTTTTTTAGCAGTATGCTACCATCCTAAAGCAGCTAACAGCTAACCTTGCTAGCTGTTGAGCTAGCAGGGTTAGCTGCTAACCAAACCAAACCAATTCTAAATTAGCTACTGCTGTAACTCCAATAAACTTATTTTATATAAAGCAACAAATATGATGTGCCTAGCATGTTGTTCTCCAAAAAGAGTCAGCTGGAAAAAACAAATGGGTTAGACAGTAAACTTTCGTTAACTGGTGAAGTAGTTAGCTGATGTCATGTTTAAAATCGGCCATTTCCTGTTCCATACAAACCATATTGGATCAGTGTTTTTCCAGGTATACTGCTAATAACTTAAACTTTCTAAATGAGGCCTGTTCACTCAGTTGTAGCTCATATCACTTCGGGATAAATTTCCCAGGACATTCACTCCTGAGAAAATTGACAACATTCCTAAATATTTATCACTTGTAAATATTCCTTTCCACTGTAGAATGATGGACTTCAGACTGTTTGGAATGTGTAAAAAAAACCTTTCCAGACTGATGGACAGCAACAGATGCCTCCCAAGATCATTGCAGATGATACATGGTGACACTTGCTTGTTGATTCAGTTAATCAGGTGGATTTAAATAGCAGCACCTGGACACTATTTCTGTTACTTCATATGAAAGCAGTAAAGGAGTACTTAATTCTTCACACACTTCAATACCTCAATAAAATGTGTTGTATTTTGTATTTCATCTGAGGCTTTATTTACTTAATTTTAAGATCTGCTAAAGATTATTTTTATTATGCAGTGATGTGTCAAACCTTTAGAATTGAAACAGGGAGCACTTTCTTTTTATCATGCCACAATGTTTTGCTGCTAATACTGAACACTTTGGGTTCCATACACATCTGCCTGGGTCACATTTTTATTATAATATGCAGAATTGAAAATTATCAGATCTTTTCAAGTGAATTAAACATGTAGAGTAAAAGATGTGAAGGCACTCCTAGACACAGGCCCCAGATCAGTTTTCTTTTCTCTTTTAAATAAGGAAAAAGGTTTTTGGGTGAACTGATCTCAGACCTGCCACTAGGGGGCAGTTTTAGTCTTCTGTTGTTGATGTACAGTTAGTATCATGGCAACTGTGTTTAAATAGTCAGTCTGGTGAAGTCACATCCCTGATTGAGAACAAAAGCAGACCAGGCCATAAAAAAACAACAACAAAGCAAAAAAAGAGACCAAAACCAGACACACTGGACATACACGGCACAGAGAATAGTGGCACTATGAGATGGCAGAGACTCACTTATTATACACGTGTCCAAAAAAAAATGGGAAAAAACAGAAGAAAAAAAAATCAAGATCTTTCCCAAATGCACAATTGGCATCAGCGGGATAATTATCATTGTCAGACAATGAATCAATAATTTCCTGGCTGTCCCCTCCTTAGTCTCAGTCCACCGGTCTGAAAAGGGCCCGTCCCCTGAGACCGAATCCTGCTTTTTTGGCCACAGGGGCAGCCTGAGGAACAGAGGAGGAGGTGGACAATGAAGAGGAGGAAGAGGAGGGTGCAGGGGCTGCAGTGGCCACAGGTGCAGTGATGCCGGACCCCTGCAAGGGAGGCTGGCGAGACAGGAGCTCCTTGAACACCGAGTTCATCTGACGGTTGATCATCTCCTGAGAGAGCGAGAGGAGGAGGAGGAGGAGGGGAGGTGAACATCAAAGTTTTTCTGTTACATACTGCATTATTCTACTGCTGCATCCTGACACTGTTAAAGACTGGAAGGTCCTTTTTTTTCATCACTTTTTTGTGAAGGCTCTAACTTAGAATCTCATAACTGAGCGACTCTGAAGGTAGAGTTTTGTATACAAAGTCAATTTAATCTAGACTTTAACAGAAAGTCCACTGACTGAACAACATAAGTTGCTGGTGGTGTTCTCACTGCAGAATGAATTCACTCTCACATCTAACATCATAGTTACTTACTCAGAATCAAGAAGTGATGTGATCTAAATATCATATAAAGCAGCGGTCCCCAACCCCCGGGCCACGGACCGGTACTGGTCTGTGAGTCGTTTGGTACCAGGCCGCCAGAGTTGTGGCTCGGGTGTAAATTTTAAGGTTTTCGGGGGCTTTTATCGTTAACTCTGTTTCCCGTGTTGAAGTTGTGTGTCTTATTTTGAAAGAAATATTTATGCGTTACCATAGCGACCAGAGAGCTTTAAGGGGCAGAGAGGAGGATGTTATTCTCAATGTTGTTGGTGCATTTCAGGACGCTGCTAATAAAGTTACACAATCACACAGTGAATTTGCGTTTATTATTATATTTACAAAATACCACAGTTTTTGTCTTGATCGTATCATTTTATTTTGTTGTATTTATCACCGACACCTTAAAGGCCCGTCCGTAAAAATATTGTCTGACATTAAACTGGTCTGTGGCGCAAAAAAGGTTGGGGACCGCTGATATAAAGGACCATTTCCAAGAAAATGGATGGTGTCATTCTTTGTTTAGATTATTGGAGTGTTTTATCACATGCGTTACTTGTCCAATTTAACAAGGATGGAAAGAGTATGAGGAAATTGCTCTCAAGAAGTAATGCTACACAACCACACACTTATTATGTGAAAACATGCTTTGATTAAACATTACTGTATGCTGGGAAATAATTATGTGATGATAGTAATGCCTTAGAGCAGTGATTGATCATGCATGGTTTGCAGTGGTGGTAAGTGGTTAGTTAAGTTACTGTGCAGGTTGACAAAAATGCGTCACTTGGAACAAATATGGCAACTGATTGTTTAAATGAATTTTTTTAAAGCAATCTGAACTAATAAATGAAATGAACTAATAAAAACAGCCGTGATGAAGACCTCAGAGTTTCAGTGGGCTCCAGAGGATTTTCAGATTTTTCTATCTAGAGCCCTTCTCTGTAAAATAAAAAGTACTTCCCCTCTCTAATCATCAGTTCTGAATATATATAACCGCCTTTCTCACAGTTGCATTAGTGGTGTTAACCAGAAAGAAGAGCAAAAAAACCCCCAAAGCCCACCACGGCTGCTTTTAATAGTCTTTATGTAGTAATACCAACCTTCATAAATTGCACCAACATCTACTTTTAGACTATGTGAGTGCATAATAAACCCCCAGTAAAGCAAGCCAGGACAGAGATGCAACTCTAAAACTAACATTT